TTTGTGAGTTTGAGGGCAGCCTGGACTACATAGCAAGAGTGTCTCAAAATAAATAAAATAGCCTCAGTGATAGAGCATCCCTGGGTTCCAACCACAGTACTGGGGAAGAAAAATAAATAAATGGAAAATCAGTGAGGAAAAACAAAACAACTAAAGTAGACTCCACCAACATGTCATCCAGAAAGCAGCCTTCAAATCACAAGAACACGCTTGACTTCACACTCCAGTATCTCGCTTAATGTGGCATGTGATTACTCCCCTTATGGAACCAGAAAAAGTCAGGCTACAATGTCATGCCTCTGCATGAAGAACTTGCCATGGATTTTTAAAAATCTCTGAGAGAAAAAGCAAAAATCATGCTACTCAAATTCCAGTCTGGTGGAGCTTGAGAAGAGGAGTGTTGTGGCACAGGGGAGCAGACTATGGGCTCTGGCATTTGACTCTGCCTTTCTGCTGCTACCCTTGGGCAAACACCTTTACCTCTCTATGACTCATTTTTCCCATCTGTAAAATAAAGAGTCCCTACTCTGTAGAGCTATTAGGAAAGTTAGTGGGATCATCAAAGGGAAAAGGCCCCTGCCTATATACTGCTAAGCCAGTACAAGTTTGTTGCTATCCAGAGGTCTGAGTTTAAATGTCAGCATGCACCAGGAGGAAGGAAGGTTCTGGTAACCTGGATGTAGCCCATTTCTGACTTTGGTGTGTAATAGAGTGAGATCAAGGCTACCAAGTTCCTTTCTTTTGACTAGGTTCTCAGAGAAGATCACTTGTGGAAAAGGATTTCCACTTAGGATTCCCGCGGTGATCTCAGTCCAGTGGACACAGCAGAAAGTGGACCTACAAGCGTGGTCTGAGGTCTGTGCACAGACAGGGGTACCATGAAGGCAACATGCGTTCATGTCCTACACCAAACCCCTACCCTTCAATACCAGCCCCAGGGGCAGTACAGAGAAACCAGTGACACCTACTTCCTTGGCCACAGTCAGCCAAAATAGAAGTGTCTACCTATAGTGGGCAGGGAAGGGTGGTTGGTAGGATGGCAAGCCAGATGGCAAGTAGAGTAGGGGTGGTGGTCAGAGGTAGTAGGCAGGCCAGGGTGGTAGATGGGTATGGGCAGGAGCTACCTTCATTTCAGATGGTTGGGGCATGGTTAAGTTACCATGCTCAGCCTGGCCTTTCCCCACTTTCTAGCCAGTTCCTGTAGCCGCTGGCCAAAAAAATCTACCCAGGATGTCCTCAGAACGCTACACATTCTCCCTGCTTCATGTCTGTGTCCAGTGTCCCTCTTCCTCTACCAGCTGACCTGACAAGGCTCAGCCTGGGCAGGTAGGAGGTGTGGACTGTGCTCACTGCTGGTGCAATGAAAATGGACATAACCTTTGGTGTAACATATACCAGACTCCTACCTTTCCTCATGTGGCACACTAATCCTATTTATTGGAATTTACCCTAAGATCATAATAAGACAAAGATCTATTTACAAGACATCTTCAGTTTTGAACAATCATATTTTTGAAGAATAGTGTTGAGTGACAAAAAATCTAATATTAAGCAGAAAAATGTATTAAGACATAAGATTTTTTAAAATATATGTATTATAGGGCCAGAGATTTAGCTCAGTGGATTCACCGCCTGCCTCGCAAGCACAAGGTCCTGAGTTCAATCCCTGGTATCAAAAAACAAAACAAAACAAACATATATATGTATTATATTTAATAGAAATCAAAGTAAAACTAAAAAGAGACATCAAAACCTTAAGTGTTCCTTTCTCTAGGTGGCAGGAATGTATGTGAGGGTTTTTGTTGCTTTTTCCTTTCATTTTTTGTGGTCAGGACATCTATCATTTTCTGATAAGGTTACACATCTTCTGATATGGTCACCTCTTCTTCCATCAGCAGCAGTCTTATAGGACAATCAGTCCTCATCTCCTTCCTGGGGTTTCACTGCTAAAGACTCATAATCCCAGAAGACAGAAGCCAGCAGCTCCACCTGGGTACAGCCCTGGTACCCTAAGTGTGGGGCTGCGCTCAGCCCATGGATTACACAGTCTTGTGGGAGAAATTATAAGCATTATTTAAGAGTGTCTCTCTTCTAGACTGTGACTCTTGGAGCAATGAAACCCCAGGATGGATGACAATGCCACTCCAGTGTCTTAGAACCATCTTCACTAGACAGACTGCCCCGCCATCTCAGGCCTGCTTCTTATTTCCCTTCTCTGAGCAAACCAACATCCTTCTAATAGACTCTAGTTTTGTTAGGTTAAAGCTCTTGGTGTGCTAGAGAGTCCTGACTGACACCCATTCCTCCAAAAGGTGTACTGGCTCCATGTCCTCCCCAGAGAGTGTGAGCGGCCTGCAGGAGGAGACAGCAGTTGAAGGTGAGCTCAGGGACAGGCAGATAGGAACCAAGGCATGTTGGCTATGTAATCATTAGATCCAGAAGATGAGCTGTCTCACCTCTCTGAGTTTCAGCTTCTCCATCTTGCCAATTAGAAGGGTATTCCTGTTTTACAGGGAGCCACTGTAAAGCTTGGAAGTAGTAATAGAAGGACAGTGTTTGGCACATTAGAGACATTTAGTAAGTGGCAAGCATGCTTACACAAAGGTGTTTGCAAGCTCTCAGCTGATCAATGAGTCTCTCCATCCAATACCAAATGCTGAGTCCCAGAAGTAGGGGGCTGGCCCTGCCCTGGACACTGGAGGTCTACAACCAGCACGACTGTGACAGTCATTACCCTTAAGGACCTCAGCCTGGCAGGAGACGAGTGACAAGCCAGAGAGAGACACACAGAGCCATTCCAAATGGTGCTGAGTGTCATACAGGAAATAAGACGACTAGATATAACAAGACAGAGAAAGAATACACTTCAGAGACTGTGTCAGGAAATGTGGGAAAGATGTCTGAGTGCAACAGCAGGGGAGGAGGATGTCTGAAGCATAGGGTGGCTCAAGAAATAGAAGGTGGGGACCACAATGGATGAAGAGAGGCAGGCAGACCTGAAGGGAGTCTCTAAACAGACTTTTAAAAGGAAGCCATTAAGACAGGGTTGATACTATGTGCCTTGCAAAATGCCTCATTGGCTCTGTGTGGGATTAAAATGAGCCAGCAGTTTAGGGGCAATATTAAGAGTTCTGGGAAGATGGGGGCAGGGATTTAGCTCAGTGGTTTCGCCACCTGCTGCACAAGCACAAGGACCCAAGTTTGATCCCTGGTACCAGAAAAAAAAAAAAAAAAAGAGTTCTGGGAAGAAATGATGAGCTGGTGGCAACAGGAAGAAAGATACAGATGAGTGTCAGATTTAGAAACAGAATACAGAGGACACTGGCCTTACTGGCATACTGGCCAAGGAGGGTAGACAGTTCCATGTTCGCCATGAAAGACGGAAAGACACACAGGCACACCACTGCCCTGGGATAGGCATGTCAGGCTGGAGTTCTCACTGAGGCTGGGGGAGGGGTGTGGATCAGCACAAAGACAATGTATAAATCCACAGGAATGGGTGAATGACCACCTTAGCAACCTTATACCAGTAAATATCCTTTCATATCCACGAATTCCATATCCTGTCATATCCATGAATTCAACCAACCACAGAGAAGACATATTCAGGAAAAATAATTGCGTATGTGGTAAACATGTACACCCTTTTTTTCTTGTTTACTGCTCCCTAAACAATACAGTGTAATAGCTATTCACATACCATTCACATTATGGTAGGTAGTATAAGTTATCTAGAGATGATTTAAAGAATATGACCAGACTTGAGCATCTGACTAGGGGGAGTCCTACAACCAATTCCCCAAGGCTACCAAGGGACACTGAACAGCCACTTCACCACCCAGTGCAAATCAGTGCAAGCAGTCTTCCTATTCCCTACCCGTTCTCAAGCCTAGGGCTCCATCAGAGTCACCTGGAAGGCTGGTCAAGATCATACCGCCACTACCAGAGTTTCTGATTCACAAGGTCTGCTGTGGGGCTGAAAAATATTGATTTCTATTGAGTCTCTGAGGGAGGCTGACCATGGAGGGCCTCATTTGGAGATCACTGCTTTACTAGAAAGAGTAGGCCCAGCCTTTACTGCTCATACCACACCCACAAACTGTGGCCCAGACACTTCACTTCCTTGGCCTTAACTAACTTCATGCTCCTGAGGAATTCAAAGGTAACGATGGGATGGGATGTCATGAGGACATAGGCACCGAGAATTGGCATAGTGCCAGAGTTAGGTACAGCAAAAGCACTTAGCATTGGCTGAACATGTAACTGCAGCTCCTGACATGGGGCTGGAGTGAGGGGAGGAAGGTGGAGATGCTCAGAACTCATGCCTGAGGGTTGGGAGCCCCGAGCAGCAGAGCCCTGGGCTGGAAATCTAGCCTTCTGGGCTGTGGAGCAGCTGCTCAGAAACCTTGGGCAAGAGCCAGGCTCTGAATCCCCCTGCCAAGTGCCCTCTTCCTGGCAACAAGAGTTATCTTCTAGGTTTGGAAACCGCAGCTTCCCAAATTCTAAAAAAATCTCCATCTCATGTCATTCTCTTTCTTTTCTTTTTTTTTATTTTTTTCTCTTTCTTTTAAATAAGGACAAAAGAGAGAATATGTAGCAAAATGAACTTTAACCACTTCTACTTCATCAGGCTTTTCATATAAAGATGTCCAAGAGCCTCCAGCCCCTCATCAGACATGGTTCTCTCTTCCTTACTTCTGCCATAAGCCTGCTCAGGGACAGGTACATCTGAAAAATGACACTGCCCCAAAATGTTGATGGGTACTCATCCCATCAAGTCCATGTTACCATAATGAGGTCCCATTAAGAACAGGGGATGGGGCCTGAGAATAATGCTGGAGAAAGTCTTAGGGAGCAGGAACCACTGGCACAGAGCCAAGGAGCAAGGGCCGAGGACCTGGCACTATGAGTCTGCACCTTCCTATCAGGTGAGTTGAGCGGTCAGCCTTTGTCTACACCTCTCAGGGTAGGGGCTTTCCAGAGCAAGATGCATACCTTACCTTCTCATAGGGACAGTACTTGAACATCTTGATGGGACTTGTGCAGATGAACACGTCAGTGCTGCCAAGAAGAGAAAGGACAGTGAGCCTGCATCCCTGTGGCCATCACCATGCTATCTTCCCATCACCTCCCCACCCTTTCGGATTGAGCCCTGTCAGCATCTGAGCGTCACATCTGTTATGGGAAACCCACTGTTCTGTGTATCTCCACACTAGAGATGTTGAATTTCTGCTCCACTCAACGGCCTTGGAAAGCACAGAGAACTCCTGGCAATTTTTTCAGGGCCAGATCTAAAAGGTTAGCAGGGCTCAGATACCCTCTCTGATATTGGAACAGGGAAAATTGGAATAAAGAGAAAGAAGCATTTAGAAACAAGTCCAGCATTAAAAGGATGCAGAGAGCTGGGTGTGGTGGCACATGCCTGTAATCTCAGCACTCAGGAGGCTGAGGCAGGACTGCCGCAAGTTCAAGGCCAACCTGGGCTATATAGTGACTTCAAGGCCAGCCTGAACTACACAGCAAGACCCTGTCTCAAAAAACCAAAATAAATAAAATAAAATAAAAGGATGCAGAGGGCTGGGGGTATGGCTCAGTGGTAGAGTGCACACTTAGTACATACAAGGCCTTGGGTTCCATCCCCACTCAAAAAAAAAAAAGAGAAGAAAAGGATACAGATCCTAGAGTTACTTGAGAGAGATCTGAGGTCCCATGCAATACAAAGGAGAAAGGAAAGAAATCAAAATCTATATCAAGAATTCCAGTACCTTGTGCAAATGCTCTGGCCTCAGGCCAAACAGAGGAAGAGCCTAGATCTCCTGCACTGAGCAGTGCATGCCCCTTAAATAGGTGCAGGCTCTGTGTGGGGTACACTACACCCTTCCCACAGTCAGGGTTCCAAGCCAAATCCACAGGCGAGCTGGCCCTGACCCAGAAGGGCTTCTCAGGTACCTGCTTCTCCACACAACCTGAAGGGCCCTGGAGCCATCACCATTAGAGCCATCTAGCCCCAAACATCCGCAAAAGCTGGAGTTCACCTCCAGCACCAGCTCCTTCTGACTCATCAAATCGAGCTGCAGAAGATGTGTTTTCCCAACCCTCTCTGGCAAATTAGTCTCTAGAGTCTTGTGTGAACCTGCCAGACCCTGGGGTGCTGCCTATGCCCTTTCATTACCTGAAGTCTTTCCAGCTTATGCATTCCTGCAGCCAACTTGGCTGTGCCCTTGTACCTGCTATGTCCCCCCAAAACTCAGCCATTGCCCAATGGTTGTTCTCAGCTCTGCCTCTACAGGGAATGGCCTTTGACCCTTCCTTGCTGTGGTCATCTACCACTGGCCAGTTATTGTCCCTCCCACCTCCCATTCCCCGGCTCAATACTATTCTCTCCTCCTCTGCTCTTCAACATCCTACTGACTTTGCACATATGTACAAACATGTGCGTACATGCAAATACAACACATGATCTCTCAGTTCCTATCCCTCCTTACCTCCAAACACCACTCATTCCCTTCCCCCCACCCCCAAAACCTCTCCTCCCATCACTATATGGAGCCTGGCCTCCCTAGCCTCCACCCATGACAAACATTCTAACTCCCTGCGCTGAATTCTTCAGATTCCTTGAGAGACAAGGGCTGAGGTGTACCAGTTTTGCACATTCCCTCTCCACCAGCCACACTCTGGTCCATCTCTACGATTACTGTTTGTGTATCTCTTGGTCCATGGAGGGCTGTTTTGCCAGGCTCTGAAAGAACCCACTGTCCAGCTTCTCCCACCTGCACCCAAGCAGCTACTGGAGACAAAAAAAAAAAAAAAATCACATAAACTTCAGACCAACTTCACTGTGTGGTCGCAAGCCAAGGCCTTGTGGCTACCCAGCAGGATACTCTCCAGGGCTCTGGAGGTGCTCCCTGCAGGGCCCCCAATAGTCAGAACATGCCTTCCTTGGGCCTCACTCTTCTCACCAGGAGACCCCCATGCTTCTCACATTTCTCCTCACATATCACATCCACTGCCTTACGTTCTTCTCCCATGCCACAGCACCCATCTTTCCTCTTGTTCAGCCTCCATCTGCCTCTCCCCTCACCCCAATCTGCACCTATTTGCTCTCATCTTTATGAGGATTTTTCCCTGCAAAAATTTCCCCTCTACTTCTCCTCAGTGACTCCTCATTCAAACATGTCCTGTTATCTCCTATCTTAAAAATTCCTTATAGATACTCCTGGACTGGTGAGGTTACATCCTGATAGACCCATTGAATGTTGAAAATGTCATAAGTACAAAAGTATTACACCTATCCTACTGAAGATCAGAATATGGTTTCCATGAATGGCTATAACTTTCACACCATCAACAAGGCAAAAATCATCAGAAGAAGCCTGACACAGTGGTGCATGCCTGTAAATCCCAGACTCTGGAAGGCTGAAGCAGGAGGATCACAAGTTCTAGTCCAGCATGGGCTACTTAGTCACTTAGCAAGACCCTGTCTCAAAGTGAAATATAAAAAATGGGCAAAAAAAAAAAAGAAAAAAAAAAGGGCTGGTATTGTAGTTCACTGTGAAGGCTGTAGGTTCAGTCACTAGTGCCACATTTCTTTTGGGGAAGTTTTAAAATTACTGCTTTGAAGCTGGGCATGGTAGCACACACCTATAATTCTGGGATTCTGAGAGTCTGAGGAAGATTGATCACAAGTTTGAGCCCAGACTGGGCAATTTGGTACCTTAGTGAGACACTGCCTCGAAATAAAAAAATAGAAAAAGAACTGGAGATGTAGCTCAGTTTTTAAAAATTTAATCCCAGAATTTAAAAAAAATCATCAACAGAACTATAAGTTAGCAGCTATCTTCATAACACAAAACTGTGGCCTGCATGCTCCCTCATTATCACTCATACCCCTGCTCCCTCCACAGCACCACATATTTCACAACTGCCTTTTCTGTGGACTCCATTTCTCACCATCTGTCCCTTCCTCAAACAGCTCCCACTTGGAGTTGGTCCTCTCCTGACTTAGTCACTTTCCTTGTCACTGAAACTCAATACCAGATACCCACAACTCAAAGGAGGAGTTTATTTTGGCTCACATTTTCAGTATATGCTTGGCTGGCTCCAAGGCAAGAAGGGCATGGTAAAGGGGCTTGGACAAAGGAAAGCTGCTCATGTCACAGAAGCCAGGAAGAAGAGAAAGAAAGGAGGAGCTAGGTGAGAGATACGTTCTTCCAAGTCATGTCCCTAGTGACTTGCCTCTTCCAACCTGGATCCACCTCCCAACAGCACATTTACCTATGGATTCATCAGTAGATTAACTCACTGATGAGTTTCAGCATCCCCATGATACAGTTACTTTCCAAAGCCCAACCTGAACATATGGGCCTTTGGGAGACATTATAGATCTAAACCATAACAAACCCACTCCAAAGAAATTACTCATTGTCATCAAGGACCCTGGAACACCATGTGCACAGCACACCTAGGCACTGTTACCTTTCTTATCAGTATTTGACCCTATGGCCATGTCTGTTCTCTCTGTCATTCTGCCACACTTGCTCCTCACCAGCTGCCCAGCCTGGTCTCCCGAGGTCCTGTCCCCTCCTAGCCTCTCAGGGCTGGTGCTCATTCTGTACTCCCCATTCAGGTGACATCTTCCAGCCTAAGGCTTTAATGCCATCTATGTATAGACACCTCCCAATCTCTCCCTAGAACCAAATATAAATCCTTCATGGCCTTTAAAAAGCTTCTTTTGACATACGCAAATCAATCAATGTAATACACTATATCAATAGAGCCAAGGACTAAAACCATATGATTATCTCCATAGACGCAGAAAAAGCATTTGACAAAATCCAACACGCATTGATGATTAAAACCCTACAAAAAACTGGAATAGATGGTCTCTACCTCAATCTGATAAAAGCCATCTATGAAAAACCAACAGCCAGTATCATACTAAATGGTCAAAAACTGAAATCTTTCATACTAAAATCAAGAACAAGACAAGGATGTCAACTATCACCACTCTTGTTCAATATAGTTTTGGAAACATAAGCCACACCAATTAGACAAGAGAAAGAAATGAAAGGAATAAAGGTAGGAAATGAAGAAGCCAAATTGTCATTATTTGCAGATGACATGATACTCTATATAGAAGACCCCAAGAACTCCACCAAAAGTCTTCTAGACTTAATAACCAAATTAAGTCAAGTAGCTGGATACAAGGTCAACACACAAAAATCAATAGCTTTCCTCTACACGAATAACAGACTCACTGACAGAGAAACACGGAAAACAATTCCTTTCACAATAGCATCCAAAAAACTGAAATACCTAGGAATCAACCTAACAAAAGAAATCAAAGACTTCTTCTCTGAAAACTAT